AGCTGGTGGAATAGAAATAGTGGTTGTTAGGTATGGTTGGTCGCAATTCCGAGCGAGATTAGAAGGCAGGAATCCTACCTTGAGGAACATGGATCGAGCGCTGAAGCTCGTCACCGTGCCGATGTGCTTGCCGAAGCCGTATCTGGTCACTGCGGGAGGGCCGGCGCGGTTAGCATGCGATCGTACTGTCTTTCTTGCTCGGGGAGGTACATGTGTACTTACTCCACATCGTGGTAAAGCATAGGGCGAACGTGAAGATCTAGACGATTCGAGTAGAGTGACGTTAGTGATCGACGGTAGGGGATCGCGATGCCCAGAAGACAGACAGGCTACCCACCCAGCTGGTTATACACAGCACATCATCCAGATTGATCCCCGTCAGATATCGGACGCGCACAAACAGCCGCACCAGCAGCCCTCCCGTCGCGAACACGAGGAGAATCGTGTTGCAGGCGATGATGCCGGGGATCCGGGACTGCGCCAGGTAGGCGATCCGCTCCGGCGAGAGATCTCTCTCCCAGATCTCTTCCATGGAGGGCGGGAAGACCAGCTAACCGTCGGGAAAAGATGCAAAAGGAGAGACCGGACGGAGAAGAGAAAGGCGAGGGAAGGTTCCAAGAAGGAATTGGAGAAGACGGATTACATTGGCGAAGGAGAAAGAATTTCGAGGGCGAACCTGCAGGCGGAGGGGGGGGGGGAAGAAAGCGAGAGGGACAGAACCGGAGGGAAAACCGGAGGGAGGACCGGAGACGGGGAGGGCAATCATGAGACGGCGAATCCGTCTATATGAGTCTGGATTTTGCTCCTTGTAGTGTACAACGGTTGCAGGAGTGCAAGGCCTGAGCATCGTTTCAGTTTGCCAGGGGTGGAGATTGGCAGTCGTCGACACGTGGAATTTCTCATCCCTGGTGTCACTCCTGCAGGCTTTGCCTCCCCCCCCCCCCCTCTCCTTTAGCTTAGACTCAGACCGAGCTAGAGTTGAACACTTAATTTTACTTAGACTACATGTCATGAATCATGCTTTGTGAAGTGGGACACGATCCCAATCGTGATTCCGCTGAACGTTTTGGGTGTACCCACCAGTACCCACGCACCCTCCCCACTGCCTGCTCCACTGCGTTTCACACAACAATTGGATTTTGCAGGCCCGTCGGCCGAGCAATCATTCACAAACGCCTTACGTACCTGTCCCATTGAGATAGTGTGATCTAGTTCCTCGAGCTCGTTCTGCGATAGATTGCCAAAGCTTGTCGTGAAGATCGAGAATTCTAAATATAAGCTTCAGCAGAAAGACCAGCGATGAAGCGTGACTGTGCTTAGTAATGGCGGCCAAGTTGCATGCCAAGACCCTTAAAGTGCTTATCAGGCTGTGGTATTGCGAACATGATTTGTGCAAATTTACACGTCCAGCTCGAGCCCCTCAGAGCTCAATACGCGTGGTAATCTCCGACGCTGCCAGGGCATTCCTGCGTTGAGCATAGGAGATCCTGGCAACAGCCTCCCGTCTGAAGTAGGGCTAGCCGGTGTTGACACCGGGTTTGTCCGTTCGGACCATGTCCGACCGGCTCGTATTCACTCCTGGTGTTTGTGTTTCACCATGGTGATGGATCCGTTGACTGTTGAATCCGTTCCCCTAAGCTAACGACGGCCTGCTAGTCATGGCCAGAGACATTTGCCCCCCTCCCATTTGAATGGGGTGCAAAAGTGCCGAGCGCCAAGAATGAGGGTCCGATGCGGTGGACATGGCCACCGCAGATGGTCTCGACAAGTCTCTCGCTGGATTGTCTTGGTCAACATACGGTTTGATTGATTTCTGCTCGTGTACACTACCGAAAGTTATTCTAGAGATCTCTTTTTATGATTTCTGTCGACATTGTGCTTCTACTGCCGAGGAATAGTTCCGCTCGGGTACATCAAAGCACGGCCGTTTAGTCGTCTTTAAAGCACGCCATGCACGTGGTGAGACGGGAAGTGGTCTTTTCAGGGGTCGGACGGTTCCAGGCCACATTTATTCCATTCAGTTATCAATCGGAGCTTCTCTTGACCTACTTCTTGAGGGCAGCTGCCTCCAATTGCGACGAGTGGGTGTGCATCCGCGCAGCGTGCCTTGGAGACTATTCATAATTACTGGGAGATCGACACGGACCCGACAATGATTACATTGATGATGAGCACCGAGGCTTGGTTATGTGGAATGTATGTCTGAAAGTTTGCTGCTGTCTGCGTATGAGTCTGGCAGGCGTCAGGGCGTGGACAAGTCACATGACGGGACTGCCTCCCCCTGGTCGATGAACAGTCTTGTCGACCTCAAGAGAACCCGCTATGATCGTGCCCCCATACAAAGGTGCTAACAATATCTCATTTCATGAGTCGCCTCAAGTGAAGAATACACGTCCAGTTATCGAGGGACGCCGACGCCATGATCTGCGCGAGCTCCGCATCCGCTTGATCGCTTGCCTGGGGGAAGCCTTCATCATCGCCCCCCGGAACAGCAAGTATTTTCAACCGCTCCCGCAGCTCTTCGTCCACCATCCTGTCGAAGAGCTCCTTCCCCACCACCGTGCCATCGATATCAAATAAACCGCGCAGTTCCGCGCGGATGCGCGCCCGGAGTTCGAGCCGGCAGCGGGCGCCGGAGATAATGCTCGCGAGGACGGAATCGTACGGGCCCTCGTAGTGCGGCCAGGCCCGGAGCTCCCGGATGGCCTGCCAGCGCACGTGCAGGTCCGGACAGGAGTCGGCGACCAATTGCAGCGGCAGGATCACGCCCGAGTCCACCATGACCGTGGGCCGGTCGGGGAACTGGGCGACGATCGTGCGGGCCAACGAGAGGATGGCCGCGTGGTCGGCTGAGAATGCCTGAGCCTGGGCGGGCGGGAGCTGCGCTATCAGGGACATCCGGAGACCCACGGAGTAAGTCATCAGATGCAGTCGCAGCAGGTCGGCGCCGCGCTTGTGTTTCGGAGAGAGGCTGGCATATTTGAGGGCACAAAAGTTGTCGAGGGAGTGTGTGGTGTGCTCAAGGTCTGCAAGCAGGTGGGATTGGGCCGCCTTGAAATTTGAGTAGTGGGCCACGATTTCCTCTGCGGACGCGGTGCCTAACCGCTGGAAGAATTGGTTGATGGCACTATCGAGGGGCTGCATGGCCAGGCGTAGGTCGTCGACGCTTTGCCCGAGTAGGTCGCGGTCGCGGTCGCTGTTGTTGCTGAGGCGGATATGCGTCCGTGGCGGCTGGTTGGCCCAGAGTTGGGAGCACCCACGAGGGTTGAAATGCGTCGACTGGGTTTCGAGCTGGGCGAAGGCCGCGAGGAGATGCGGGTTCATTCCGCCGCCAACGAGTGAAGATCCAATGAGGGGATTGCAGCGGCCTAATCTTAGCTCTTGGGAAACCCGCAAGCCAGCTTGCAAATGTCGGAACGCAGTGTCATAGTCTCGTTGCAAGAGGCTCAAATACACGAAGAGTAGACAGCAGAGAAGCGTGACTTGCCGCATCTGCGGGTCCTGGGGATTGCGCCGACGGAGGAGCTCAAAAGCGCGAGCGGACTCCTCCAGCGCGTAGAAATACCAAACGCCTCGTCCCGTTTTACCATTGCCGGGGAAATTGATGCCCTGAAAGACCACTTCTTGGTGAGCGGCCCCCAGGGCGACGGCGGCGTGGCACACTGCAGGCTCGATATTCGCCATCTGGAAGACAAACTGCTCCCATAGCTGGGAATCATAATACCCCAGAGCATCGGCGATGGTGCGGTCGCAAAAGAATGAAAAGCAGCGACGTTGATCGGATGTTACAACCCAGCGTATCTGGGTGTTTACCGGGGTAGAAAGCGAGAAGGAAAGGTTCTTCCCGCGCTTGGCTGGCACGGGTAGGCGATAGGCTTCGTACCCGTCACAGAGGCGTCCGGTGGACGTACAGTTCCGGCACTTTTCGGGTGTCTCATCACATTTGATTCGTCGAATTCTGCATGTGCGGCAGCCCGTCTTCGATCGCTTGCCACCGAAGCGGCGCTTCTTTGCAGGCTGTGAGGACATGTTGTGGGGAGCATGTGAGAGCATGCTCGTTGCCTTTGGAGTGATTATGTGGCAGGAACGCGTTGATGTGAAGGAGACGCGACCACAGCGAGCTCTGCGAGGGGTAAGAAGTCGACATGGATGAGGCACTAGTCAGGAGTTCGACTGAGGCGACAAGCATTAGTGTGAAGCTAACGGCTTAGTTGGTGCCTGAATGATCCAACACCGCCCTGGACGTTGAAGTTGGTGGTGTGCTGCCGGACACTGCGAATTTGGTTCCATGGTCACAGATCCTGTTGATCATGAATATGTGAGACCCCCCCATCAAACATATCCCGCGGAGCCATTTGTTTTTGCAAAATGATGTCCCCGTGCTGTGGAGCTCGGCGTGACTTGGGCAGGCATCCTAGGCTCCCCGCCGGAAAAACACATCGTCGTAAGCAAATTGACTAAGCTGACAGAGCTAGCTAGTGCTTGGCGAGCACCATGCTGCAATGGCCCTTGTTGCCGCTCATGATCGAGCCCAAGCATGGTGCTGACATATTTTATTCCTGTTCGACTGGTGGCATCACGTCACTAGTCGGGTCTAAGGGAACACTATGTTGAGCATCGGAGAATCGGAGATACAGCATGCAAAGATGACTCGATGTGCAAGTCAGTTTAGCCTGTCCGGGATCTAGGAGCTGACGGATGGACAGCACATTAGATCCATGAACTTCTCAAGGGAGCGCAGATGTTGACAGTGGTGGAAAGTTGGTAAAGTTCCCCCTTCCTGTGGGGACCAAAACCATGGCGGATGCGGCAGTAACTTGACCGCCTCGGAGCTCTGATTTCTCAGGCACTAAGGCATAAAGGCACCAAGGTCTGCCAAGTTCTTTGGAGGACACTGCAGTCTGCTTCCACAACCACAACCCCAATCACAAGCCATCATCCACTCATCGCAAAGAGGGCGCTCTCCGTTTCGGTCTGGTAAAGTACTTAAGCCACACCATGCGAGTCACAAGGCACACAAACTGGTCTGTGCACCCTACGTGCGAATCGGGAACGGTCGCATTCAGCTGCCCACAAGCGTGCCTCTCGCAAGGCTACCTAATACCCAAGTGATAGAAAAGGCCATGAGATATACAACACCCACGTCGCCCATACATCACCGTTGATGCATGCAAACATTTCTCTCAACCTCACCAGTTGCTGTGCGCGGAATACAACCTCGACGACTGGCATGCAGAAAGTGAGCAAAATGCTTCATCTTTTCTGTACGGTCGGAGCCTGAGCTTACTCTGCTACAACTCACCGTATGTCATGGCCCAGTAGACCGGTGAGATGCCCCATCGTCACAAAGCCAGGGGCAGCATTCCTGGTTTCGTTTGCCATCAACGCCACATCTCGTATAACAGTACCTCAAGAAGGATCAGCAACCCTTCAAGGTCAACTGATGGGTCAGACTCACTTCTGGGAGTACTGAAAAGGCTTTCTCAGTAGTTGTCGCATAAAATATCAAATCTGCATCATGGATTTACCTGTCGGTACATGCTTTAAGCTGATTGCCCTAGAATCCTCGAGCGGCTCGTAATGCATCCCTAAAGCATGGAAGGATGAAAGCATGGCAGCTTTCCATCGTCTAGACTCGATACGGGGAGTGGGGCATCGGAGTCGGATCCACGATAAGGCTCTGACTCCAGATCTTGAGTTCGTGGGAGCCTGTTTTTAGGCACGGAGAAACATCGTCCTTTCGCATGAAACACATCATTGCTGTTTCTGGGCCGCAGTGCGACCCAGGAGCTCAGCCACAGCCGCGGACTGGAACAGGTACTAGACACAGTGGAACGGGGAAACATGAGGCATGTCGGCCTCGATGCAACACCATGGTACAAATCTGGTCTTGTAGATGCCTCGCACTGAATAGCGCGCTTGGGATTGCACTACCGATGCTCCTCACTTTCGGGTAATGGCAGCGACAACACACGACACCCACGCTTTGACTTCACTGTGGTGTAGTGACAGAGCGCTTTACCCCTGGTTGGGTCCGGGGTATCGCATGAGAGAACCCGGGCGCCCAGCGAATCATTGTTGAAAGCGTCAGCCTCGTATCATGCACGAACACGAGCAGAGACCCTGCAGCCTCGTCAAGTGGCCAATTGTTTCCGATTCCCAACCGCATCGATCGGCATTTTTCATTTAGTGGCATCAGCCACCTGCACGCGCTATGATGTAATTATATCATTCTAGCGAGAGATGCATCTGCAAGCGATTGGACTTGAAGACCAACACCCTGGTCACAGTAGGTGTCTTCCAAGCTCTCAAGCCTTCGCTGCCATAGCCTGAGAAGCCACCCAAAATGCCGAAAGTCTTACCCCCTTTGCCTAATGGCGTCGGGACGCAGAGGAGAGGAGGCTCTTTAGGAAAGTCCAAATCCCAGCAGCTGGGCATTTATAACTCACAGCCTGTATCTTGACCCCAGCTTGCATCATTGCTGGGAAATTTGTCCCCCTTTGGTTTTCAAGTCCTCGTAAGAGCCATGTCTGCCGCGCTCTACACCTACACGGGAGTCTGGATCAACTGGTCCGAGGGAGCGATCCGGGGAGCCACCTTGACTTTGTCGCAGACCGGCTCCGGCATTCTGAGCGCCTTTTTAGCTATACTTGTCTCCCTGGCAGGCAGCCTGTTCTGGAGCATTCTGAGCTTTGCACTTCATCAGACGGGGACCACAGCTCCCGATCGGCGGCGGGATGCTCTTCACTACCAGCGACAGGTCATCCTGCGCAACAAAGGTGCAGCCGCCGCGGCCTGGGCTTTGATCAAGTTACCATTTGAGAGCGGGCGAACAGCGTCAAAGCTCAGGGCTGTGGGGCGATCGCTACCACTGGCCCTGCTACCAATCCTCGTTCTCATCCTGTTCGGAGTATCTGGTCTGTTCACAAGTTACATCACCAAGGCGGCCGGCCATTCGACGCTCATCATCGGCCCAGGCTGTGGAGGCTACTCGTTCAACGCCACAGATGTGACCGTCAGTAACACCAAGAGTCTGCAGGATACCTACGACGCTGCCACGTACGTCCGCCGGTGCTACCTGGAGAACGCGAGTGAACTCGACTGCAGCACCTACGTCCGGCCCAGCCTGCCGTTTACCACAAACCCAAATGCATCCTGCCCATATTCCCCCGATCTGTGCGCGTACAACGGCAAATCGGCCCTGCAAATGGACACGGGCCTGCTGGATTCGCACGAGGACTTTGGCATCAACGCACCCCCGCGTAACCGCATAAAATACCGGCGAGTCACCACCTGTGCCCCAGTCAAGCACGGGTCCGGGCTAGGGAGCGTCCAGAACGACTCAATATGGGGCCAGATCGTCTACATCCATGCCGGATATCAGTATTACATGGGTGAGCCGTACCTGAACTACACATTCTCGTACACTCCGATCCCCAGCGTCGATGGAGTGGGCTACACACTAAGGTGAGTGCCTCACCCACCCCAAAGAACCCCCTCTGATCGACCATAGCGCCGTCTTCGCCAAATCCGACCCCAGCGGACTCCTGAACGGCCTCGAGTCATGGAAGCCGACCGACGCGATCAACCAAACCGACGCGGACATCACGATGATGATGCTCAACCAGAACAACATCAACTACCTGCAACCCAGCTACGACCCGTGGATGACGGCGCTCGAACAGCAGAACTACAGCATCGAGGGAACGAACGTCACCTCATCGATGTGGACCAAGAGCTACGAGGTGAATCTGATGGTATGCACCGACCAGTACCAGATCTGCAACCCCAACCGGCCCGGGCCGGACGGGTGCACCAAACTCGGCGGGATCTTGAGCACCTCGCTGTCCACCTTCACCGTCGACCCGACCAAGTTCCTCGGGTTCAACGTGTACCAAATCGCGACGATCGGCCGGTTCCTGTCCGGGAACAACGATCGGAGCATGTACTCCAACGTCAACGGCCGCGGCGGCGCAGCGTTGAACGGTGAGTAGCCTGTGCACCTCCACCCCACCCCACCCCCTCCCTCTTTCCCACTTCACTCTTCCTTCCTCCCCCACTAACCCAAAAGAAACACAGCCTCGTCAATCGCCTACAGCAACATCCAATTCTACATCCCGCCCACGCAATGGCAAACGGAAGTAACCACCTGGTTCGCGACCTCGCTGGCCAAAGAACAAGCCTGGGCGGTGGAGTGGGCGACCGCGCCCAAGAACTTCCCCGCGACCTCGCTGCTCGACCAGTCGTCGGTCGGGTGGAACGTGACGGCGCCGCTGAGTCGCTACGCGCGCGTGCAGTGCACCAACCAGCTCGTGCACAATGCCGCCGGGTACGCCAACTTCTCGGTGCTGGGGCTGGCGCTGACAGTCGGCGTGTGCGGGCTGATCATCGTGGTGGGGCTGAGCGTGGATTCGGTGGTGGGCTGGCTGCGGGGGAAGGGCCACGGGCGGCGGCGGTATATGCGGGAGCAGTGGGCGGTGGAGGAGACGTTGAGTCTGCATCGCGCGGCGTATGTGGGGTGGGGGGTGTGGAGGGGGGATGATCCGGAGGGGATGGTGCCCAGCTCGGTGGGGTTGGAGGGGGGAAAGGGGGGGGAGGGGCAGATGGCTGCTGCGGGAGGTGAGGGTGAGGGTGAGGGTGGCGGGATGCGGATGAAGGATGGGTATGCGGTTGTTGGGAATGAGGTGAGTTAGGGTTGAGGTTGTTGGTTTTGTTTGGAGTCAGTGGATGTAATGGTAATGAGTGTTGGTGAGGATGGTGATGGCAGGGAGGCGAGTTTGGTATTTGAAAGTGTCAGAGTTGATATATCTTTGCTGCAAGCGTACGCTTCAATCAACTGCACTAGAGCGGTTGGGTGCCACTGTGTTGGGATAGAGGCGAGGTCGTTAAATAATATACTGCGCGACATACATACTGCATTGCGGGAGTCGAGCTTGGCGTATCTTTGAAGTGATGAAAGTGATCGGTAGGCTTCCCATTACGCACTCCTTCCCATCCAGCTGGAAGCTGTACACACAATTCTCGAAATTGAATGCCTGCTATGGATTTCAGGGGCTTCAGTATCACTACCTACTCATGCAGTGGTTAGTAAAAGCTCGTGTTCACTCCACTATACGCAATTTAGACCATTGACCGATTAGGCGTAGCCCGAACATACATCAACCGGTGCACACGTGACTCGCAGCGAACCCGAAAGGGCAACTGGTTTGGAGAGCTGGAGCTGAGGGCGAGCTGCAGGGAGATCCAATATGACGGCAACCTCACCCGTAGACTGGAACAAAAGATGCCGGGATTACAACACCGCTTCTCCTAGCGAAACGCTGGTTGGTGGCGCGCTCGTATTCATATAAGCACCGAGTGAGGAGGAGCCCGACTTCCGCCCCACCATTGCCGTGGTGCAGTGCAGTGCAGTCCGTTATTAGGAACTGCTGAACCACCCAGGGGGAACCTTTTCGACGGCAAATCCAGCTTGCTCAGAAATACAGCCCGACAGCTTGGCCAGCTTGCGATCGGACCGACCCGATGACCTTCTACGCGCGCGCCCGAAGGCAAAAGCACGCGAGCATCCACGACCCGGCGGTGCGGTCGCTGCGCTTGGCGGTGCTCAAAGCGGCGGGGATCAACCTGCTGGTGCTGCAGCTGCTGTTCCTGGGGCTGTTCTGCTACCTGTTCGGCTCGCTGTTCCAGCAGACGACGCATGTGCACAATCTGAACGTGGTGTTTGTGGACTACGACGGCGGGGCGATCGGGGCGGCTGTCCGCGTCGCGTACGAGCAGCTGCAGGGCCCGGGCTTCCCAACCCTAACCGAGCACGCCACGGCGCAGTATCCCCAGTCCGACGCGATCACCGCTGCTGTCTGCCACATCGACTACTGGGGCGGGCTGTACATCGCCCCGAACGCATCGAACGAGCTGGCCGCCGCCCTCGCCAGCGGCGCACCGCACTCCCCCGACGACGTGCTCACCCTGGTGTGGAACGAGGCGCGCTACTCCACCGTGGTCGACTCGGCCATCTACACCAGCATGCAGACCCTCTCCAACGCCGCCCGCATCGCTTACACCACTGCCCTTGCCCCAAACACTCTCACCAACACGCCCACCAACACCGTCAGCAACACCACCCTCACCACCCTCTCCCAACCCTGGACCTTGACCTCCACAAACCTCCAACCCACCACCCAAGGCTCGCGCCTCATCTACAACACCCTGGTGATCATCCTCATCATGATCCAAGAATTCTTCTACCTAGGCTACATCAACAGCGTCTACCAACAATTCCACCTGTACACAACCGTCTCCCCGCACCGCATCGCCATCATCCGGCAACTGCTCGCGGGAACCTACACACTGCTCGGCTCGCTGTCCACCACCGGCGCCGTGTGGGCCTTCCGGTTCGGGTGGCACGTCTCCGGGGGACAATTCGTGCTCACCTGGCTCGCGCTGTGGCTGTTCGCGCACTTGAACTTTTTGGTCTTGGACCTCTTCACCATCTGGATCCCCCCGCCCTTCGTGCCGATGGCGTTCATCTCGTGGATCGTGGCCAACGTCACCTCCATCCTGCTGCCGTTTGAGCTGGCGCCCGCGTTCTATCGGTGGGGGTATGCCTTGCCGGCGCATGCGGTGTTCCAGGTGCTCGTCGATGTGTGGTCCCGCGGCTGTAATCCCCAGCTTGGGTATGCGTTGCCCGTGCTGTTTGCTTTTGAGGTATTGGGGTTGCTCGGGAGTACGGTCGGGGTGTATCGGAGGGCGCATTATGCTGTGTTGGCCAAGGAGAAGGGAGAGAGGGAGTGGCAGGAGAAGGTGGCGGCTGCTGTGGCGGGGAGGTTGGCGATCGATAAGGAGAAGGGGGAGGTGGGCGAGAGGAGTGAGGGGGAGGGGAACGGGGAGGAAGAGGGGAGTTCGGCGGGGACGGGGCAGGGGCAGACTGGGGATGCTGCTGCTGCGATGGCAGGGCTGGGGGAAGAAGGAATGAAACAAGAGGAGGAGCGGATGGATCAGCTCGCGCGGGAGCTGTCGCAGGTGGAGAGGTCGGCGACGCGGAGACAGAAGCCTGGGCCGTGTTTTGATCTGCCGTTTAGTGAATGATTCGTGTGGAAGATGGCGGTGTCAGTTGAGTATCCACATGCACAGACCAGAGTGCTTGATATGATAGTGTTACATGTGGTGTCATTAGAAATTATTGTCAAGTCTACCAGTCAGGCCATATATCTTGTCCCCAAATGTTGTATATGGGTTGGCTGCCTGAGGCATTACTAAAAGCAGCTAGTTGCTCCTTCCTCAGGCAGAACTAAGTCCTCAACCAAACCACCCAATGAGCATTGACCGAATTGTGCTTGAGCACAGCACAGAGAGGATATCTGAGTCAGCATGCACAACCGCCGCATCACCTTATCCACCACCCCATACATCAACCATGTAGCGCATGCAACGCCGCCGATATCGGCCCTCCAAGAACAGCAACAGAAGCACTATATAAACCCACCCTCCATACGCCCATCACACCCACAACCACACCCACAACCACAACCACGACGATTTCTTTTCTCTCACAACCCACTCAGTCATACCAATACTCATTTCCACATCAACCACACAAAGCAACTCCCCCCCAACAAACATGACCGAAAAAGCAACCTACACGCACGGCCACCACGCCAGCGTCCTGCGCAGCCACGGCCAACGCACCGCCCAGAACTCCGCGCAGTTCCTGCTCCCCCACCTGCAGCCGCACCACAAGATCCTGGACATCGGCTGCGGACCCGGCACCATCACCGTCGACCTGGCCACGCACGTCCCCGAGGGCCACGTGACGGGCCTCGACATGGTCGACACCATCCTCCCGGACGCCCGCGCGCTGGCCGCATCCCGCAACCTCCCCAACATCGACTTCGTGACGGGGGACGCCAACGCCCTCACCTACGACGACAACACCTTCGACGTCGTCTTCTGCCACCAGGTCCTGCAGCACGTCGCCGACCCGGTCGCCGTGCTGGCCGAGATGCGCCGCGTGTGCAAACCGGGAGGCATCGTCGCCGCCCGCGAGGCCGATTACTCGGCGTTTATGTGGTACCCTGAGCTGCCGGGGCTGCGGCGGTGGCAGAGCTTGTATGATCAAGTTGCGAGAAAGAATGGGGGCGAGCCGAATGCGGGGCGGTTTTTGCATGTTTGGGCCAAGCGGGCGGGCTTCTTGGGTGTGGAGTGTAAGGTCAGTGCGTGGTGCTTTGCGACGCCCGAGGAGGTCAGCTGGTGGAGTGGCACGTGGCAGGAACGGGCGGTGAAGTCGGCGTTTGCGAAGGGGGCGCTGGAGAATGGGTTGGTGTCGCCGGAGGAGCTGACGGAGATTTCCGGGGTGTGGAGGGAGTGGGGTGAGGATCGGGATGCGTGGATTGCCATTCCTAGTGCGGAGGTGGTTTGTCGGAAGTAACTGGGTCCTCGTTGAGTAATCTGGCCTTGGGTTGGTAATGCATGGCTGTGGATTTTGGGGGTGGTGGTGGACGTACATAAAGATGAATACTTGTTGGCTAGGGCAAAGACCTTGCGCTGGAGCCCGGTAAAGCAGTCACTTTCGTGAGAGGTTGGGCACTTCACCCAATCTCAAAGAATGTGAGACTCGAATCATCGAGAAATTATGACCTTCGGTACTGAATGATCATAGCCGAGTGCATCCTGTCCAACCCTAATAGTAAGACGCCCTGGGTGTACCGGTGCTTGGAGAAGTGGTAGACATTTCGCTGGTATATAACCCTAATGGCTCTCGTGTCACCACCGGTAAACCCTGCACATAATATACACCAACACGCCTTCCGGTGCTTCTTTGCTCGTCTGATACGTCTCAAAATCATAAATTCATTTCGTAATCTCGAATTAAATCGAATCTCTACAATGGCTCTAGCAATCTGCACCTGCGTGACGAGTTTCAGCACACATCACAAGAACCACCCTTCTCAAACTGTTGAAAAAACGGATCCTCTCTTTCCTGCGGACCCACCCACTTGAGCATGTCAGGGGTGATGTGCGGAATATCCGCGCGGAAGGTCTCCGCCAACCACCGATTCCAATCCCAAGTGACCCAGTCAAACCATGTATCCTGCGCGTTGTCCACCTGCCACCAGCGCAGGATGGGACTGATATAGGTGCCCGGGAGGAGATCGGTTTTGGCGCAGTGGGGCGATTTGACATCCAACCACGAGCGGCCGATGCGCGCGAGCCCGAAGTCGATGACCGTGACGCGCGGCGGGCCGCCGCCCGCCTTGCCGGCCTTCTTCTCCGCGCGCGGATCCGGCCTGGTGATGATGACGTTCCGCGGGTACACATCCCGGTGCTGGAGGTCACACGCGTAGAACGCCGACTCGATCTTGACGATCCGCCGCATGATTGCCTGGCGGTCGCCCAGCGAGAACGACTCCGGCCGCAGCTGCCTCATGTCCGTGCCCTCGACCAGCTCCGTCAGGATGAGGCGCACCTCGCACATTGTCTTGCTGGCTGGGTCCGGGGTGCGCGTGGACCACGACCCGTAGTACTCGGGGATGTACCGGTGGAGCTGGTGGTGCAGCAGGTGGCGGTACGCCGCGGACTCGCGCACGTACTGCTCGTCCATGAACCGCACCGCCTGCACCCGCGTCCTCGAGGCCGAGCCCAGGTACCGCGCGTCGTACAGCTTGGCCACCATCTTGGGCCCCAGCTCGTCCGGGTCCCGGTGCAGCGACCCTGGGTGTTTGGGAGGCCGCCCGCTCAGCACCTCCTGCACCACGGCCACCTGTGCCGAGTACCCGGATCCCACGCGCAGGCCCTTGCACACCCGCAGGCGTAGCTCCTTCTCGCCGAAGCGGCCGGGCAGCGGGTCCTTAGACTCGTTGAACTCGAAGTCCGCCGGGATCTGGCTGGGTGGGTGGTGCTCGCGGACCACGAACTCGAAGCCTAGTTGGTAGGGGGTTTGGGGCGGCATCGTGGCAGGGTGGCAGTGTCGCAGAGAGACCCTTCTCGTAGGATTGGATCCCAGGGCCTGTGGGCAAATGGTGGTTTTATATCCTGCCTGGCGTGGCATCGTTGTGGGATGTAGGACTCTCTCATCATCAACAAAGGCATTGCAGCAATACGAGTTCCCACAGGGTCAGGGGTACTTCCTTGTGTGGGCGCTTTGTCAAAGCGACACAGAAGAGGTTGCTACATTGTAGTCGTCAGGAGATCGCCGAATACCTCTGAGCTTCACAAAGAAGCGACACCTTTTGTTCCAGATGGATCACACGACCGACACCGTGCCCTAGACGAAAGAAAGCACGGTTGCCACGGCGAAGGGTAATCTTGCATATGATCTTGCTCTATCGTACTGGGCACGGTGCGTAATCGGTCGCCTCGAATCTCCCTGCTACCTTTCTCTGAAATCTACGAAGTAAAATAATACATCGATCCACTTTTCTCTCCACCGAGCAACTCTAACTCAGCCCCCCCTCCCTCTGTGAACTTCCAGCCTCACAATCCATAATCCACATCCCCTTTGCTAAACCGCTCAATTGCCGAAGTATCAACTCCGATCATAATATACCCGATCATCCCGTTCCTCACGTCCTTGCCGTCAGCCGGCACCACGGAGACCACCGGGTTATATCCGCCCGCAGTATCCTGCGAGAAGATGGAGTCCTCCGCATTGGTAGTGCGGTTGATCTGCGTGTGCGAGACGTACGGCTCGAGCGCCATGATCTCGCGCTCCAGCTCCTCAGCAAAGTAGATCTGGCCCGTGCTCACCGTGTGGCTGGAGGTGATGGTCCCGTTCTCGCGCAACGTCCAGTCCGTGTGCACCTGGACATGGATGTGGATCGCTCGTTGAACGTAGAAGCCTGCCCAAAAGCCAAAACATTAGCTCTCACCCCGTGCACTATCATGACCGAAGCAACCAGAGGAGGGTATGTTGCTCGCTCACCCGGAAAAATCGTCTTCATCTCCATGATCCCCCGCTCATCGGTCGGCCACATCCCGCGCAGCCACGAGGTGTCATCAGTATGCAGATCCGTCGTCCTCAGGTCATAGCCCGTGACATTGAGCTCACTCAACAACTCCTCAAAGGGAGTGTTCGGCGACAGACCTGTGAAGCTCGAGTACGAGCCCGTCGCGTTGCAGTGCCAGAAGTCCACGAGCGCGTTGGGCATCGGCGCGCACGTGGCCATGTCCAGCACGCCGACGTCCAGCCACAGCGGCACGCCGACCTGGTCCTCTGTCATGTCCTGGCGGAACGTCTGCGAGCGCGGCCAGACGTAGGGACCCCGGGTCACTTCCGGGGTCAGCACGCAGGTCTCGTTCTGGATGGTTTCATAGAAGGGGGCTTCGGTCTGGATCTCATAGGTTGCGTTGTGATTGTGCTCGTCGGCCCAGCGTTTGGTGAGGGCGTCGCGCGCGGCCATGCGTTGCTGGTTGAAGGTGGCGGCGTGGCCGGGGCAGCGCTTGAGGAGCTCGGTCCGGCGGTGGAGGGCTGCGGGGGGAAGTGGTTTGTGCGGGCCGGGGTGCGCCGTGACTGTTAGGGCTGTGGTCGCGAAGAGGATAAAGAGGGAGTTGAGATGCATTCTGACGGATGTCTTGTGCGGAGTTCTGGGAGTTAGGCTTCTGGGGGTGGGATGGATTGCAGTGATGGGAAGGCTTTGACAGGCGGCGAACACGATGAATTTATACCTGCTCACCAGGGGAAAATGTGGAAAGAAAGTTTCGTTCACTCATCACGGACGATTCGATTGGGAAGGCACGCTGCGCAGAGGATGATCGAAGCGATCAGCAAGGTCTTAATCGGCATCTACGCTAAACCGGCTGACCTCCGATGCCACCGTGTAGACCAAGGCATATTGTGGGTCTAGTGAGGGATCTTGTTGCCTTAACGGAGTTGTAATTCTCCTTCATTGAGGCAAGAACTGCCAATCGTGGGACATGCTTATCTATCTCTGCGCGCTTCTATGAATGGCCATTGCATGCTCCGGCTCACCTATCCTCTTGGCTCGCCTATCCTGGCTTCTGGGAGGTGCACCTCGTTATCTGTACACAATCTTGGCCACGCCGTTATCGAGCGAAAGCACCATGACCAAGCTCTTGGCATGATCTTGCCTTCTGGCGTGTATAAAATAGCGAACTGGGTACTATGCTATTTCTCTGGTTTGACTTACTTTTCTCTCGATCTTTGCAGTTCCAGAAACCCGCAATCTTAAGCACATCTCGAAGGCCTTTAGTGCCACAGTCGGGGTCTTATTTACGTAGAGCAATACCCTAACGGAACTCAGAAATGGTCTCGAGGGCACCGAGTGCCCTCCCACTCAAATATCGGCATCCGCAATGGCGCAAGAGGTCCACCTTTCTACCAAAACCGATTCAAGGCCTCAATTTACTCCCGCAGGTACCTGATTTCTGTGTCTCGTTTCTCCACAGTTGGAACAGGCTCGACTGCGCCAAGCCTCAACTACCGCTGAGTCATCAAGCCTTGCCATTTCGGGCTGCCGTACCAGGGGATAGCATAGCATCGTTCAATTATTTCCAGGCTATTTCGCACCGGTTCTGCAGACTGCAAGACCTTACCACCAGACGGGACTTTGGGATCTGACCCGTAAGCATCATGTTTACTGCAGAACCCCGAGTCCGGAATTCCGGCGGACACTCGAAACCTGGACACTTTCCGGTGTGGATGTGTGCGCTCGACACGGTTCTTGACACGATAGACGTCACATGCCAAGTGTAGTGAGGTACTGCCTGCAGATAGCATCGGGAGATAGCGGTATAGCTACTATTTTAAGCAAGGAGGACAGATGAAATCACGATGTCCGGTACAGTTGGTCCCCAGACTTGGACGGTGATACATAGGCTCCGGTGCCTCCACTTCAGTGTAGACCTTTCCATGATAAGAGTGTCCACCCTCTGCTGCAAGGCCTACTTGTCAGAACTATCTCCACTAATGCAAATCTAAGTGTGGTTATTGCATTGACACGAACGTCTTCGACCTATGACATCTGTGACACATATACCTCAGATCCACAGCCTCCTTGCTGCATTTACTCCCCCAGACCTCCACAAAACCTGTATCCCTCATCGTGGATTGTCGAATCAACAAAATCAAAGTCATTTCCTCTTCCCAAAGGACTACTGGTCATCTCATACCCCAGCGAGCGATTTTGCCCTTGCTCGTGATTGGCACCATCGCTCACATTACTACCCTCAGGAAAAGGGGCATACGGCCTGGATGTATCCTGGCGCAATGAGAGGGGGCCCCCGGGTTGGTCGGCGCCCTGGTTCGGTTCTTGATGGCCGGAGTTCAAGACCCATTTGGGGGTGTCAAAATACGTCCGTTGCTGATGTCTGCTGTCAGCGAGTGCTTTTATACGCTGTAGAAACGGAGCAGGAGCTGACAATTTTTGGCTTGCGTGCCTTATTCATACCGTGGCTGTAGCGCGGTTCGGTGGCGTAGTTGGCTAGGATCGCGTGTTCTTGCTCGGAGAGAGGCTAGACGGGAGAATGAATGAGTTGAGTCTAGATCTAGTTCACAGAACAATAGAGGGTTGCGGATGGGAAGAACGGACTTCGTCGCGGGTAAATATATTGTCTTGGTCGTCCATGGCGGTGTCTTCGGTTGAGCCTTCAGTAGTATGGATTGACTGTGTCCTGGGATGAGTGTTTGCAAGGCGGAGGCTCGAGAGGCTACACGATCGGTTCTATCCGTTCTTCCAGAGCAGGTACTGTTCTCAATGGCTGATGGAAAGTAGTTGTGGTTATAAGGTCACTGCAAAGAAAAGAAGAAAATTAGAACTCATCGAGGTATTCGAGTTTTCAGCTGATTATTATATCCAGCAAGATTTGTCGAGTGGGGCAATACACCTCTTCTTTCGGAACAGGGAACCCCAATCGTGACGTTCGATACTGCTGCTCCAATCTATCACCCAGCGTATATCGCGCATTACGCCACAAAATTGATCAGCCACGCCCATAAATTAAATCTCGTCCCAGTGAGCGATCTATTCGCCTGAGAGAATTCATGAGTGGCTGGCTTAGTCTCGCCCGAGGACGTTACATCAGTTCTCGGTGGAAGAAGCTCAATTGGATGCGGCGCGCACTGTATCATGTCCGGCGGGGCATAGAAGGGCTGCGGAGCAAAAACGGGTCATGATGACCGCACATGCGCAGATTTGTTGCCACCATTCTTGGCTTGTCGAAAAGCAACGCAATTGATTATCTTGCTCGTATGTCGTCGCGGTTCTCCCTGGACCCCCTTTCTTCTTCCTTTTCTTATTTTGCTCTTTCTATTTGAAACGACCTTTTCTGATGAAGGACTTCTTTAAAATGATCTTGGTTCTCTCTTATACTTCTCACAAGCCTTTGTTGTTCGAGCTTTCCCTGCATTCCAGAATTCACTGAAATGGGGGCCATGATCTCGGGTAGATATTCAGACAGCGGTCGCAGTGGGGCTGGATCTTGGCGCAGATCCGGCACACTCCGCCCACCCTCCGGGTACCGACCGGGCAACGTCCCAGTGTTCTCGTATTCCGAAGTCGGGATCCCTTCGCACAGACCCCTGAGGGTTTCGCAGTAGAGCTCGTAAGAGATAAGGCTGCCTCCGGCGCGGCTCACGCGAGAGGTCGACCCAGGCGGAGTGGGGCTGTGCGTTGGAGGTGTGTCGGGATCGGCGCGGGGGTAGTCGAGCGGAGGGTCTTTTGATCTTGAGTTGGCGTCCAGCAGGAAGCCCTGGGCGTAGCTTATGCACCGATTCAAACAGTCAGTATCGCATACTGTTCTCTTGGGGGTTTGATTCGAGGATCTAGTTCCTCTGTGTGCTCTCTCACTTCTAACCTTACAATAGCGGTGCCATCTTCCGACAGTAGGCTGGTGGTGGCTGATACCTCTCTGGTCCTGGTGTGGTATATCTATCGACCATAGTTGCAGCCAACAACTTGTATTCAATGATAATCCTTGATGTTGTGTATTGTTTGCTTGGTCCCGCCTCCAGACAATTTTAGGTCTAAGGAAAGGTCAAATCGTTCAATGTTGGAAGGCATTGTTCCGTGTTGGTTTTTCAATTTAATGCATGAGACTGTGATGGCTGAACTGGTTGAAGCGCTATTTTCTTTGTTCGAATGTGACCGATAGCTCATAGCTGGCTGGAGTACAGCTGTGGCATAGCTGTAAGCACTAACATTGTTGAGTACAAGTTCCAAGAAGCAGCGTTAGGGCTATTCTTCCCGGTCGGGTAATCAAGATATCATCTAGAATGCCAGCCTATAGCAAGCATGACCTCCCCAAAACAATTCCAATAATAAACTCTTGTGCTATGAGAAAACATTGTAACAGTCCCATGATCACGCATTGCAGGAAAGCAGACTCTCTTGATAGACTTTCTTGCCAGCCAGCCTAAGGGGTCGATCAAGGCTGGGCCCAACTTTACCCTAGGATCCTCGAACAGTTTACCTACATTTTGACTAGCGCTTACAGCTGCTCATGCCGTTGAGCCGGCTATAGCGTCGAGAAGACCAACAGGGACATCGCGTAGCTGGTCACTCTTCTCATCCTTGCGGGCCCTATTGAGCTCTCATTCGCCAACGCGACCGGCCGATCTTTGGAAGAGTCAGCCCTAGTTCATTAGCCGCGCCGGATAGCGCATCAAGTGCTTGGTTTCCCTTGTTCCATCCCCATCCTGTCACGCTATTCTCCATCTAGTAGACGAATTCACTAATTATATCGCTTCTGGCAGATCGTAGGTTTAGCTCCTGTTCTCCACCTTAACAGGCATACGCGTGGCTACTAGGGACCATGTCGTCGGCAGCAGCGGTTGCCGTTATTTAAAGACTGCCGTGGTTCGGCCGTATCTGACTGCCTCCAAGCTAATTTCACAAGCCAGTTCACTGGGTATTTCCTTCTTATTTTTACTCTGCATCTTATCACCATGTCTATCACGGAAAGTATCTTCCCTCTCCCTGGCGTGCAGCACGGAAAGCGGATCATCGCTTCTGTGATCGAGGCGAGAGCGAAAAAGGATGATGATGCCCCCTGGGTCTCTCTGCCCATCGACGACGAGAACATGTCACTGGGCTTCAAAGACATTTCTTTTCGAACTTTCAATAATGCAGCCAACCACGCCGCTCACTGGCTCCGACAAAACCTCCCCGAAACCACGGAGCCATTCCAGAAATTCGCCTATGCTGGACCGAAAGACCTTCGCTATCCAATCCTGGCAGTCGCCGCCGCGAAACTGCAAAAAGTGGTACGAGTCGAGTCATACATTTATAGGGAGATGATCTTCCCGCTGATATAACACTAGCTTATCCTCCCCTCCCCGCTGGTAACGGCGGAAGCACAACGCCGCATTCTGGAGTCACAAAAGTGCACCGTGTACCTGCGTCCATCGACCATGAAAGCTCAGGTAGATGCGATTCTGCATGATGCACCCCACATCCAGACAATCGACATCCCAGACCTTGAACAGTTCCTTAAAGTGACCGAATCAGAGCCCGTCACATACAGCAAAACATGGGACGAGGGCAAAAACGACCCGTGGCTGGTGTTCCACACCTCGGGGACGACCGGAAACCCCAAGCCGGTGACCTGGACGCACCGGATGATGGCCTCGATCGACATGATGGCAGCCGCCCCGAACATCAAGGACAGCATGGTTCACCGCGCCGCCAACCACCGACTCTTCACCCCGATCCCCTCACTCCACGTATGTCCCCTCATTCACCCCACCATTCACCCCTAGAACACTACCACCATTTAAGCCCGCTAACAACCCCAAAGCTAACCGGAATGATGCTCATCCTCGCCACAACAACCTACGTAAACATGACCGCCGTCCTCGGCCCATCCACAGCCCTCACCCCGGCCACCGTGATCTCTGTCTTCCAAAACGCCCACATAGACGGCACCCTCCTCCCACCAGCCCTAATCGACGGCCTCTGCCTGTCAGAAGCCGGACTAGCTGCCCTCCGCAGTCTCAGCTTCCTGATGTACACCGGGGCCCCGTTAGCCGCCAAATCCGCCGCGCTGCTGACCCCCTACATCCCCGTGGTTATTAACGGAGTGGGCACCACCGAAGCAGGGGGATACTTCGCGACGCACCACGAGCACCGCGACGCCGACGCGTACCTGTGGCTATCGTTTGCGCAGCAGAAGGGCGCAACGTTCGAGCCCCGCACCGCCGACGGGCTGCACGAGCTGGTGTTCGTCCGCGATGATCCCGCCACAATCGCCAAGAATGTAGATCTAGATGCAGACGACGAACCCGTCATCTTCCAGACCTACCCGCATCTCACGCGGTTCGAGACCCACGACCTCTGGCGCCCGCACCCCGTCCACAGGGACCTGTGGCAGATCGTCGGCCGCACGGATGACTACGTGCCCCTCTCGCATAGTGATGGGCTGCATGCTTCGTCGCTGGAGCCGGAGATCACGGCCCATCCTGCTGTCAGGGCGGCGTTGATCGGGGGCCATGGGCGGGCCAAGCCGGTGCTGCTGGTGCAGTTGGTGGAGGGGATGACGGCGTCGGAGTTTGAGGTCGAGAGTCTCCGGCCCTATGTGGACAAGGTGAACGCGCGGGTTCACGAGTGTGTGCGGTTGGAGATGGGGCGGGTGATTGTGGCCAGCGAGGAGAAACCGTTTCTGTACACGGCGAAGCAGAGTGTCGCGCGGATGCAGAGTTTGGGGCTGTATGAGGCGGAGATTGAGGCGTTGGAGGAGTAGGGTTGTTCTGATGCTTTCTCGGGGGTATGAGGTTGTGGGGACTGTGCTGGATATGTTGACATTATGGAAGGTGGTAAGGACTATTGTTCCCGTCTTTCCCGTAGCAGCAGCAGACTTCATGGGTCATCAATGGAATATACATATTTATCTCTGGACCGATTCATCATGATGTGCGCTCCACTGCTTGTTACGGCTGGGCAGCGACGGATTCGCGGCTCGGGAACATTCGGTGCGTCTGGTGAGCTTTCAGCCCACACAGCAGTGTGTAGTTCGGCTGGATTAATAGGCTCATTGGAATAACAGAGGGTAGTGGGTGGACGTGGTGGTTTTATGCAAGATGGCTGCGCCGTTCTGTGCGGGCAGCGGGTGGGGTGTGGCGCATATGGCGCATGCAGTTCTGAAGGTACAGAAAGAAGATCCCTGACGTGATGGGTACATCCGCGAGCAGAAGTGGTAGATAAAGATAAATCCCACACCGATGTCAACGAAAGGCGACATCAAGCAAGAAAGTAAATGCCAGGGTCAGTATGAGCATTGTATCTGTAGGCCACCGCAAGACAAAAACAGTAGCGGGACTGCTCTTATCGTTTCGAATGCGGGATGAACATGTGAGGATGCGAGTCCAGTAGTGAGTAAAGAAGCTTGACACACCGCAACAGCTGGCAAGGCAATTCTATCAATGGCTTCCATTTTCTATTACAATTAAGATCGATGACAGCATAGTAGAGTGAATACAGCCACCACAGCTGAACCCCCCCCTCTCCCCCCTTTGTGGCTGTGCACACGCTTCCCAGCCGGTTTGCCGCCGGCGCTACGGCACAGTACACTTGCATCTGCGGTCCGCTGCGACTCCCGACATGAGAACAGGGACTTCTCATCCAATCGATGTCAACTGCTACCTCGCAGGTGGGCCGAGGCAATGACCAAGGGGAGTACTAGTGGCTCGAAAGCTGCCAACAAGTAGAAGTAGCGTGCTCACGCCGGTTCTAGCGGGCCAGCCTTGTGCGGTTTACAGCCACAAGTAGACGCTTAGCCCAGTTAGCCTGAGCACGACTGAACGTACTATCCTCATGAGGACGTGAATAAAAGACTTATGGGGGAAGGGTATATAATAAAGAGCAAGATCCATAAAAAATATTTGTCCTTTGCGTTTTCATTACTACCACCCACAGTACCACTACCGCCCATTCATCACACAACCATTTAAGAACACTTTCCATCCCCAAACTCAGAACCAAAATCAGGGAAAGAAGAATTACCCAAGCATGGAGACAGTGCCCAGCGCAGAACAACGCCAGATCTTCCTCGCGTGTCGTGCGATCTTCAGCGGCACGAACGCCAACATCCGAAAGACGAAGACCATCCGCGCCCACCTGGAAAACCACCACGATTCACTGCAAGCGCTGATCCCCAGCTACAACGTCTGGCGCGCCCTGCCTGTGGTCAAGTATTTCTTGGAAAAGGGCCTGTTCCAGTCAAACAGCAAAGCTCAGGTGGAGTTTCCTGGTCTCCTGGAGCCGTGTTCCGTCCGGCAGACGCAGCATGCTGCGCTTGAACAAGAGGCATCGCGTTCCGCTGAACAGGCTCTCCAGGAGGTCACAGAGACGTACGAGGCGCAGCAACGTCAAGAGGAGGAAGAGAATGAGAAACGAAACGGGGGTCCCGTGCCAGAGCCTGCCATGGTCTCGATACCGATCGCTATCAATTCCGATGAAGTCGGACAGCATGTGTGTGCAAATGCATCAGGTACAGCACCGTATAGCTCACCCTGGGCTACTCCGCTCGTCGCCATCCTTTCACTGACCACAATCCAACACCCACAGATCAGACCCTGTCCTCCGAACGACCGCCCACCCCACTCTTCCCGCTCTATCTGCCCTACCACGCCCAGCATCATATCCTAACCACCGTCCAAAAGGTCCTGGAGGAGTGCATCTTTGCCTTCTGCCACAAGTGGCTGCCAGACGAGCTCGCACGCCGGGGCTGGGACTGCGCGGCGGCAGTCGAACTGAGCAAGTGGACGCGGCTCCTTGGCCCATGGGCGTCGCAGCTGCCCGATGGCACGCTCCGTCCGTCGGACCTCGCGCTGGAGACGATGCTCGCGAGGGTCGTGAAGATTCGGCACACTGCGGTGCATCGCCTCCCCACGACGGCACAGGGGGTCTGCGACCTCGTAGCTGTCGCCGTGAAACTGGCCGCGGCGCTGGGCGACGCGCTGCGCACCGCGCAGCTGGATGATTTGCATCGTGACTTGCAGGAGAAGACCACGATTCTGGAGTCGAACAAGAGTCTGCTGGAAGCGAATCTCGCCTGCGAGTTGGACAGCATACGGGCGGAGCGGGAGCGGCTGGATCGGCGGGAGGAGGCGCTCCGGGCGAAGACGATTCGGGATGACGGCGAGAACAAGCGTATGGTTGGACTGTTGGTGGAAAGGTCGCTCGATCAGATCTTCAATGTCTGCGCGGTCGGGCCTAAGACTGAAACGTACTGTTCGTCTGGGTTTGCGGTTATCATTCCTGAATGGACTCGAGGCCTGCTTCGAGGTGGAACCGTTGGTAGAGGCTTAGGGTTGGGGCTTCGAGTGTTTGTTGTGATATGTTGCTTTCTATTGCTGGCGTGGGCGGTATGGCATAGGACTGGCATGGACTGAGACGTCCCCAGGGTTGGAAAGGAGGGGAACGGCTTTGCTTTCACGGGTCCACGGTCGCATTTTAATTTTCTGGGTTAATTTTCAAGACATGTGTCACTGAGGTGAAATTTCCGAGTAGGACTTTCTGACTCTTTGTGCAGCTTCGCATCAAGGCCATGGAAGTGGTTTTAGTTAGACGCTAGAACTCGCAGTAGGGCCGGTGAGAAGTAATCAATTTAAGTGCGTACTTTGCTGAATTATTAGAATTTCTCAAAGACACCGAACGAAGAAGGGTCGATGTCCTCGGTAGAAATGTGGCTACTGGTAGTAAAAGCTTAGCACAGGTGTTAAACACAGAGGATAAAAGACAAATGAACTTCAGCCACTCGGACCTTTCTGTTCTGCGAGGTTATGATTTCTGATATCTGCTTTTTCGTGCCTTATTTGCCCTACGATAGCTTGAGGCATCAACAATTCACACGCAGCGGCTATTGCGGTTTGCAGATAATGCTCAACGAATCTGGATGTTGTTAAAGAATCTTCTTTATTGATGTTAAAGTATGGCACTAGTGATGGATCATCATAGAAAAGACCATCACCAGATCTCACCCCCTCAGGGAGCACTTGACTCCCCAATTACAACGTCGCAATGGACGTACACAACTCCTCGACATCCCCATCCCCACCGCGGGAGCGCTTGCCCTCAACGCAGTGATCTACCTTGCTGCCCTCGCCCAGCTCCTTCTCGTGGGGGGCCTTGGCCGCGCGCCCGTAAGCGGGCGGGGTCATCTGGATGCCATTCCATTTCTTGAGCCGGTAGGCGATGCGCTCGGCGTAGGAGGATGCGTTGACGACCGGGCGGATGAGGGCATTGCAGCCCCGACAACGCTGGTGGTAGACCCGCGCGTTGTACTTGCCGTCGCGCCACATGCGGATCCTGATGGCGATGGCCTTGCTCGACCACCCGCCGCTCTGGCAGGTGGGGTTGTGGCAGACGAATCGGCCCATGATCGTCGTGTCGTAGTCCCGGGCCTTGCCGACGTCGGTGTCATGCGGGTGGAAGGTGAAGTGGCCCAGGCCCGCGTCCGCGAGGAGCGATTGCACTTGCTCGTGCAGGGCGCGGTACATCGACCACTGTTTGGGGGGCTGGCGCTGCTTGGTGGCCTGGGTCTCCTTGGGGGACTGGGACGGGCTCTTCTTGGTAGGCATGATGTCTGTCTTGTGTCTGACGGCGCTCAAGAAACGACGGGTCATGATTGCGGTTGCGATAGGTCTTCGCTGGTGTGGTAGAGAAGGCTAGAGGCAGTGAGAATGTGAATCACACGCTGCTTTTTCCTGGGATGGGAATCAAACCTCAAACACACACAAGGTTCCTGAGACGGGGGTTGTGCTACAGAAGGATATCACAGATCTGACGGGCTTGTTGCTCTATTTATATCGTGCTGATACCATTTCCCCTCCCAAGAAAAGACAAAGGCACTGTGATTTAAAAGGCGATTCGCGCGAGGCTCACAATGAGGCAGCAATGCAACAAAGGTGCAATAGAGGAAAAGGTCCGGTAGCCTTTGTATTCAAGGAGTCGCGCATTCATCGGTAGAGTAAGTGTCAGGTAAATTGAATGGCTTTGGAGAAGTGCCTTGTTCCTTTGAGTATCAAAGACAACACCACCAGGTGTGAAGTGCTTACTTGGCCATTGTCTAGGTAATCAAAGAATGTACTGGGTCCGTCTGAGTCGGGCTGTGCCAACGTCTGCACCGCCACACGACTGTCACAGTATGTGTCACAGCTCTGGATGCTATACCAGTTGGGTGTATACCTCTCACGGTCCTATCCGGAGCCCGGAAATATCTATACTAGAAACAAAGGCAGACACGGCCTAATGGTAATCCTGTCAAGGTGGTTCCTTCTTCCCAGCAATACCCGTGCCCTGTAGGTTATTATGCAAGAATTCACGAGTGATCAAAATCTTAGAGAGTCTAGTTGGCTCACCCTCCCAGGATGACTGTAGATCTGACAGCTGGGAAATAATGGAACAACCTTTTTGCAATTATGACTGTTTGCTCGATTATCTCTGATGCCAAAGACAAGATTCATATTACAGATAGATTCTTGTGGAAATCATAAACCTCCGACAAACATGGCTTCTTTTATCGCTCTAAAAGGGAAATCATATAGTTCCGATCACGGGTAGTGATATGTCCAAGAATGAATCCTAGTCCCGCGTAAGTACGGTACAAGATCCTCTACATTCCTACTGACCATAATCTTTTTTCCATCAGAAATCGCCCCCGGGCTAAGAACAAAAGCGACCTGATGTTAACTCGATCAAACTCAGGACAAGCAGCCCAAGGAAAGCGACTGTGAGAAGAAGGGAGTTTATCTGATGGAGAAAGAAAGATACAGATAGTATACAAAATGGCAAGAGAGAAAATCAGAGCAAGAAACGCCAGCCTGCACCTCGCCATATCGGACGACATAGTCCTGTGAGTTTAGACCTTGTACTCCGGCGGGAATGACTTCCCATCGACCTTGTTGATCTTCAGGATCTCTGGGTCAAAGTCCTTTAGAAGGCGCACCTACACCGAGCTTATGGTTAGCCTCACCCATCCAGCATGTATACAAGACCTTAGCATTCAGCACGTGCCCTTGTCACTTACATTGACAGCCGTGATCGGTTCACCTCCCATGGAAGGCGGCCAGATGAAGCAACTGCTGCCGCACGAGCTGCAGAACTGGTGGGTCGCCTTGCGGTCGCCAAAGCGGTAGTCCTTGAGCACCTCGGCGCCCTGGTCTATGACCAAGTCCTTCTGGAAGGGGTAGACGAGCAGGTACCCGTTCCTCGAACAGATGGAGCAGTTGCAGCTGGCGGTGGGGTACTCGGGCAGCGGCGGTGACAGGATAAAGTGGAACTGCACCGCGCCGCAGTGGCAGTTCCCGGCGTGGGAGCTGGTTTCACCGGTCGGTGTGGGTGGAAAGGTCATGGTTAGATATTTGGGAGATTCTAGTAGAAGGTAGGTAGGCACTCAACAAATGGTGATGGTGTAGACAGTAAAAGTATGTTTGGAGAAGGAGGTCAAGTAGTCTTACTAAAATGCGGGGTGACGCCAAGCCAACCTGCTTATTCTCGGAGATTTTCGGGGTGAGCTGATAAGTCGAAAGTCATCAAGCATGGAGCTGCACTGCAGAAGATCTAACAGGGATATAAATTATATTTAAGTTTTGCGTCGTCTGCTGATAGCATGTGAGTTCACTCTCGATTGAAGGTATTTCTGGCTCTACGTATACATACCCTTGATCCATGATGGACTTGGTGAATAAATTCCCTGTCTCTCAAGTATCAACTGAGCGGAGATGTTTATTCCCTACGGATAGATCGAAAGATATGGATCTAACTGCTAATTTGCAGATGTGCACCGTGGGTCACAAGTGGGCCCACCCGCAAAATTGGCGTTGCAAATCTCACATCCCTGAAAGCTTTGCATCTTTCCTCTCCACATCACAACGCAATCCCCACCACCCGTCTTACTGCGAGATGGCTCACCAAGCCCACAGCATCAGCTGGAACATCCTCGCCCAGAACCTCCACCACCGATTTGCCTCAGCCTCCCCGGACACCTCCCACCTCGTCTCGGATCTGTACTTCCGGTTCCGGCCCGCCCAGGGCAAGGAAATCGGCTACTTTGCTGAGTCCTTCGCCCGCGCCATCGAGGAGCACACTCACACCGAACGGCGGAAGTACCCGGCGCAATATGATCGCATCCAACCAGATGATTTGGTTTTGAATGATCGTGTCGCGGAGAAACTCCGGCCTGTAGCGTACAAGTGGTGCACGGCCAACGAGGACCACAAATGGCCTTACAGGACGGCTGTTAAGGCGGAAAGCCCTAAGTTGTGCCCGCATCGCGACTGCAACCGTGGCAACAACTTGCGGCGGAGTAGCAGCAGCAGCAGTAGCAACAGCAGTAGTGTCAGCAGTAGTGAAAGCATTAGTGCCGAAAGGTCCATGGATCATTGCGGATGCCCGTTACCCTACAACGAGCGGCTGGGATCGGCCTTTCTGCGCCGCTACCGACACAACGACTGCTACAAATTCATGGACGTCAACGCCGATGCGTTCTACAACATACAAGTGGTGAGCAGTCTCATGCTCCTCGGGGAGATGGACCCTGTGCTACGGCTGGCCGCCACCCCAGACAACGATCTGGCGAAGTGGATGGAGATGTACGAATGTAATTGCATGGTACGTACTGCCCACCATAATCCCTCCCCCCTACCTCGAAACCGCATACAGACAATAAGAACACGCAAATACTAATGCAACAACAGACCCCCGACCGCGGCTGGGACAAGCTCTTCACCGGCGCCCTGCAGATGTACCTGACCCTGAACATCCTCTACAGCATCCCCGAGCTCTGGGACCCGGCCTCGCGCCAGGCCGCCAATAAGAAGAAGTCCGACGGGTACCGCCACACCCGGATCTACCAGCGCACGCTGCGGCGCTGGACCTTCGAGGGCTCCTCCAACGAGGTCGCCCAGTACCTCCACCGCCGGTTCTTCGGGCTCGACGGCCACTTCCACTGGCAGACCCAGGTCACCCGCTACCTTCGAGAGCCCGGGTTCCTGCCGCTGCTGGAGGCGAGCACCGACGTCCGGGACGCGAGGCTGGGGTGGTTGAACGATGCCGACTGCCCGAGCGAGACGGCTGCCTCCGGTCCTACTCTGGTCCTGACCAACCAGACCTTCCCCTACGGCCAGGTGCCGTTCGAGGTGTTCCTGAACTGCGGGGGGAAGGCGGCCTATCGACCGCGGTTGACGGACGTCGCGCGCGTCGAGGCCTATCTGCGAGTGCGCGGGGGTCTCCCGCAGGAGTTGGTGGAGTATATCACGGCGCTGGCCGAGTACGATGGTCAGCATGCGCGACGACTGCCGGTCCCGCACGATCCGTTGCACCGCGCGAACCGCGCGGAGTTGCGCGACTACCTGACGCGATGCTGGCAGGTCATGGTGCGGTGCAATATGCTGGCGCAGGAGGTAGGGAAGAGGATCGACTGGGTCGCGCAGGTGGTCGAGACGTTGGATAGGCTGGTGGCCAAGCCGCCCGGGAAGAAGCTGTTCAGGCGCGAGCTGATGTACCAGTATTGGCAGGTGACTATGGCGGGCGGGAGTGGAGAGCTGCCGCATCGGTTTCGCTCGTACGATAGGTAAGGTAGATATCTATAGGGCTTGGCGTGAATCAATGCCACCTGTAGAAAGAGGAATTCACTCTTGAGTACCTAGTACCTGCACTACATACCTATTTCCGGTCATCCTTCTTTCTCGCATTGGTTAATGCGTAATCTGTTTCAGAGGGTTTGCAAGCACGGGGTCATACTTGTTAACAGTGGAGATGCTATCCCTTTTATCTACAATCACAGAAAATCCCAAGTATTTGCGAGAATCACCCGAAATCCGTTGAAAGTCAATCGTGGAAGGACGATCGAGAGGAAACCAAACCCCAAGTCAATTCAGACTGGTCAACCTGAGTAACCAACCCACCGGCGACACACGATGCCTCCTCTGTTCCGCCTGTTATCTGGAATCAACAACGTAACGTCTTTCAGCCTACGCACAGCAACATTTTTCCTTCCCGCCCTCCGCACTCGGGGGCATCCGGTGACCCAGACTGGCTCGCCTTATATCCCCACAGTGCCACGGGTAGCTGTCACTGCCGCCCTTCGCCGAGTCCGGCCAGCCCATGGATCGAGCTGGGTCGGCGAGGGGATTCGAGGTGGTGAGGGAGGTTGCGCCGACGAGGAAGCAGATTTGACCCGTGGGTGAGCCGCTGGCGAGGGGGTTTCCTCAAATGATGGTGAGGCAGGCCGCCAGGGAATGTCAGCCAAAAAGAGCGAATCAACCTGGTCGATTGAATTACCCGACAAGTAGGAAGCAGAGCGTGGGGCAGGGTTGGGAGGTGGTGCTGGTTGAGACGATGGGAAAATCTCCGCTGGAGTGCTTGTTAATAATTGGTTCAGCCTGCAGGAAAATGAAAGCGCATACCAGCGGAAGGAGGATTCCGGACCACTTTAAGCCAACTCGGCCCGCGGAGCTTACCCATCTTATTTAAGGCCATCTTCCAGGTCCGTTCGTTGGAGACCGGAACTGATATCGTTCCAGCGGGATCCGCCCACTGGATACCATCCGAGCCCGGGTCATACTTCTCATGCTCTCGGAGATACTTGACCAGATCGGAGTGAGACACCGAGTTGAAATCCCAGACAATGATCTTCCATTCGCGGGTCGCATCAGAGGTCTGGTTTCGCGGATTGGGACTATTTGAGGGCTGGCTCGGGTGCTGTTGCTGACGCTCCTGCTGCTCTTGCTCTGGCTCTGCTTCCTTTCCTTCTTTCTCTTGTTGCGGCGTCATCTGCGACCGCGTTTGTGGTCGCCTTGTAGCGATATCCTGAACGGCGGCGCTGGCATCACCCTCCGAATCCACTGAGCATGACACGGTCACCGCTCTTCTTGGTGTCGGCTGTCTCCTCCGGCGCTTGGTCCGGTTCTGGAATCTTCTATGTCGGGCCCTTGGGGTGTCGAAGTCTGACAAATCGGCATCAAGCCCTGTATCGGAAGAAGATGATACTGACAAGGCTCTTTTGGTGCTCCGCTCCCCTCTTCGACGCTTGTTCTGCCGGCCTCTTCGTGGGGTGATGGAAGTATCCGAATTTGTCGAATGAATGGACTCGATGCCTGAAGCCTGGGGGTATGAGGCCGGCACCGCTTTTCTGGTGCTCTGTTCCCCTCTGCGACGCTTGTTCTGGGGTCGTCCACGTCGGGCCATGGAAACATCGAAGTCTGATGAATAGGCATCAGTCTCCGAGTCTGATAAGGATGACACGGACCCCGTTCGTCTCCTACTCCGTTCTCTTCTCCGGCGCTTGTTCTGGTTCTGGGATCTTCGACGTCGGGCAATGGGAATATCGAATTGTGATGAATCGGCATCAGTCTCTGAGTCCGATAAGGATGACACGGACCCCGCCCGCCTTCTACTCCGATCTCTTCTTTGTCGCTTGTTCTGTCGTCGTCGTCGCCTTCTTCGGCGGGCGGTCGAAGTCTCCGTCGCGGCCTCCGAGCGTAACGCCTGCCTCCGCTGGGCTCGGTTTATCTCCTGGGTGTATGCGTTTTTGACCTTGTAGGCATACAGCATCAAGTACTCCAGGCAGCGGTCGGCATCGTCGCGGTAGGCCCTCCGCACGAACCGGGGCATCGCGTGAATGCGGTCGACCAGTTCATCGCGCAGCTGCTGGCGCAGTCCCGGGGTCGTCATGTTCAGCTGCAAAAAGCCACTCTCGTGCAAGGCACGACGGAGGAGAGATTTAAGCCCCACCCAGTCGGTTGCCTTCCCTCCGGGAATTGCCTGATCGAACTGATCCACGCTGAGTTTCCTGCCCATGGCTTGTGATGATCCAGAGTGAGTGGGCGAAAGGATCTGCGAGGGAGGGAGGACTCCCCTCTTGTGGCTGTTACGGCTGTATGTATATGCAGTATAGCTGGGCTGCAATGGGCGATAGCCAGATGGAAGTAGATTCTGGCTGCAGGATTTCTTCGTTCTTTCAACTTCGTGGGCGTGTTGTGAGTTTCTGCGTGGGCGCGGTCGAGACGCGTTTTGTTTGCTGCAAACCGAATGTGCAGGGATTCGAATGAGACTATTCCTTTTTGGGAGCAGCGTACATACGAAGAATATCCTTGAAGTCGACGAACCGTGGCGAGCCTAGTGGTTTCGATCCATCGCATCCACGCACCGCCCAATTTCAAGCACACTCTGCGCTCGGATCGGTCCGGAAATTCCGCCTCCATATTCCTGCCCGAGACCAGGATACAACCATGATGCCAGCGCCCGAATTTGAGTAATTTTGCTTTACCCCGCAGGATAGCCGCATAGATTCAATCTAACCTACTTCCTGATTCGGGCCTCTTTTCCCGAACATTCTGACTCGTCCAAGAGATCTGCGCATCACAGTGCCCCCCTAACTTACCGCCCATCCCAGCCTAACCCCCTAAACCACACGTACTGTACCTACCGTTTCGTCCGAGCCACAAGCTCTACCACCGCAGTCCTGCCGCATGTTGACACTGCGGTCGGCACGTAACCTATAACAAGTTGGAGACTCTAGAATCACTTCCCTTGAAGATCCTCTCATGGTGCTAGGACGTAGACCTTGTCCATAGATCTTCAATGCTCTCACTCCATCGCTTATATCCCGAGTCCTGTCTTGTCTGCCCCGGTTCCATCTGACCGCCCGCGGCTCGCATCTTAACACGACCAGCCATCGCCACTCCCAAGGCCAATCCAGCCAGCATTGGGGGGGATTTATGTCTAGAGGCTCCGAAGGCGAGTGCGGGATCTCCGTTATAGTCCAGCTTCAAGTTCCTCTACGCGGACACCTCGAGCCCTTCACCCGAGTCACCCAGTTCCTGTACCTCAGACCTACTCTCAAGCACCTTTGTATCGACCGTTCGCGTGATCCGTCTGTTTACGCGAGTGTGTCAGCGATTAGGTGGATACGGTGGGTAGGGTCCAGCCGGGCGGGGCGGACTACCTGGGTAAGCTTACCTTACTAAAGTTTCTTGCCGCTTCCCTCGGATTCCCTCCACCACATTGACCAATCTTGCTTGAAGTACATAGTATGTGATGAATAAGATCCTGCGCGGGGCGACCTTCGGCCCCCTCTACACAACTTTTTGTAGTGGATTAGAAGGATAGAGTCGCCGGCCCCAGCCTATAATATAAATTCTACAATAATTCTCTATAAACGGTAAAAAGCTTGCCGCAGCAGAATATTCAGCTTTTATAGATGGTGTAGAAATACTTATATATTAAAAAAAGGCTTAATATTATATACATTTAAACAGAATCTTGAGCGGGAAGATCTTTGGCCTCTTCTACGCGGCTTTATACTAGATCTCTAAGGTCTGCCGTATCTCTAAGGTCTGCTGTATCTCTAAGGTCTGCTGGATCTGTAAGGTCAGTCACTGGCCCCAGCCTGCGGCATAATTCTTACAGCGACTTTTTGCAGGCGGTAAGAAACTTGCCGCGGCAGATTATTCAGCTCCCGCAGGCGGTATAAAAACGCTTGCACATTTAAAAAAAAAGGCTCAATGTCATATATATTTAGAATATTTAGATAAGAATGAGCGGGAGGCTCTTTGGACACCCTACGCGATCTGTAGTGCTGGATTCGAGGTGAGTAAAATGGCTGCGGCAGATGCCACTGCGGCAGAATAAGGCGGTGAAAAAGAGCTGAAAACAGAACCAGACGCCAAGTGGAAGTATTCTTTATATTTAGATAAATATGTCAGCAGGAGTCGAATACAAACCATACAAACTACATTCCGTCGCGGGCTGAGTGAGCCCTGCATTTGCCCGGGCAAATTCGCCAGGTACGGTGGGCTACTCGTGCCAATTTGCAATAACCCAATTCTGCCGACAATACTGTTTTAGCCTTCCAAGCTGCCTAATTTAAACAAAACTACACAATTGTAAGTTACATTAGGATTATTAGGGCTATTAGGGTCTTAGGGTATTTTAGGCCGAAGGTATTGTTATATTAGGGTCCTTTATTAGGGAATCTTGTATATAATTTTTATATTAGGGTCAGTTTAGGAGAAGGCGGTCAGTCAAGCAGTGAACACATGTTACCCTTTACTATATAGAGAAATACTATAGAAATTGGGTTATTGCAAATTGGCACGAGTAGCTTGCCGTACCAGGGAGCCCCCCACCCGGACATTGGGCCCTCTCGCGACACTAAGAGTCTCTGCAGGGGACGCGGCTGAAGGACTATACTCTAGTCATCTAGCGGATCAGAAGCCCAGCTAATATGGTGGCTCGGGGTTGCGGAAATAAGCTAGCGGGACGGCTTAGCGCTTATTGTTCTTCATCAATAGCGGGGCCCGTATACGAGGTCTTCCGCCTCAGCTGCAGTGCGCTTCGCGATGGCGCGATGCAACTGCTAATGTGATTGGTAATGGGAGCTTAGCAATTGTGCATTTGCCTTCCACGTCGGATTTCTCGACAGGCTCGCGGGAGAGGGATGAGGGGTATAAGAAGAGTCAATGCGCCCGGGTCTGGTGGTGCATACCGAGCTGCCCAGACTCACAGTTACAGCGCAAGCAGAAGTCACAATGCGAGTGTCGTGGGCGCAAGTGTTTGCCCTCAGCTCCCTTTTAGGGACTGGTCAAGCCAGTCCTGTGCGATCGCGGAATGCATCGCAGGTGCAGCCGTTCCACGTCGACCTGGCGGCGAGGGTGCCGCGCATGCTGGAGCAGATTCGCAGCACGAAGTTGCCCGCGCAGCCGGTGTATGTCAACACCGGCAATGCGCAGGGGATCACCTTGCACGATCTGAAATCATTCCAGCAGGAATGGCTGAAAGACTTTGACTGGAAGACCGAGCAGAAGAAGATCAACAAGTGAGATCTCACCAGGCCGATGCTTGTTCGATGCTAATTATCAGCAGATTCAACCAGTACACGACCACCATCGAAGACCTGACCATCCACTTCGTCCATGAGAAGTCCAACAGCTCCGACGCCATTCCGTTGCTGCTGCTGCACGGCTGGCCCGGCTCCTTTTTGGAGTTCGCCCCGATCATCGACGAGCTGACCGCGCAGGCGACGACCGCCACGGGCAAGAAGGTCGCCTTCGACGTGATCGTGCCCTCCCTGCCCGGGTTCGCCTTCTCCTCGGTGCCCCCCATCAACTGGACCATCGCCGACACGGCGCGCGTTTTCAACACCTTGCTCACCCAGGTCCTGCACTACGAGACCTACGCGGTCTTTGGGACGGACTGGGGCGCAGGCATCGCCTACAACCTGTACGACCAGTACAACTCGACCGTCCGCGCGGGCCACCTGGCTTTCCTGCCCTTCTTCCCGTTAACCCCGGAAGCGCTGGCGGCACAGAACATCACGCTGTCCTCGCAGGAGGCCTTCGAGGAGGCCGAGACGATGGAGTGGAGTAACACCGGGGAGGGTTACTTCAACGAGCAGACCACCAAGGTATGTTGCCACCAGAAATCTCAAGCCGATAGC